TCCACATCCAAAGAAAGAACTAAGGAAGTTGAATTGCTATCATTTTTTTTTCTCTTCTGTTGAGTTTTGTTTCCTCTTTCTAATGGTTCCTCCTATTGGTTTTAATTTTTACTTACAACTTCACTAATGTGAAAGTATGTTTAATAGGAATGTAAATATATAGCCTATATGAGATTGTGCGCCATCTTGGGGAAGGGTGTGGGGAGGATGAGGAAGAAAATTTTTAAACTCAAAAGCATATGGAGATTATTGTTGATAAATCAAAATAAATTAACAAAATTTAAAAAAAGAAAAGAAAGAAAAAAAGGAAGGAGCTTTCACTTACTGCATTTATTAAGTATCTATTATGTTTTAGATATTATGTTAAGTGCTTTACAAATATTACCTAATTTAATTCTCATAACAACCATGGGAGGTAGATGCCGTTATTATCGCAATTTTATAATTGAGGAATCTGACGCAGACTGATGTTAGGAGACTTGCTTGGGGTCATACAACTTGTAAATGTCTAAGGCTGGATTTGAACTCAGTTCTTCCTGACTCCAGATCCAACACTCTATCCACTGCCCTCCACAGCTGCCTCTAAGTTACAAAGGTTATTCACAGACTCTCTGCATAAGCATCTGGTCTTTGGCAATAAAACAGTTTTAAGTAGAAGGTCTGCTGAATCAACAAATATTAATTAGTACTTACTATATACAGAGAACTAAGTGAGGTATTATGAGGAATATTATACCAAGAAACTTAACACCATCGCTATTCTTTTTTTTCTTTTTTTTCCTTTTTTTTTTGGCTAGGCAATGAGGTTAAGTGATTTGCCCAGGGTCACACAGCTAGTAAGTGTTATGTGTCTGATCCGGATTTGAACTCAGATCCTGCAGAATCCAGGGCAGATGCTCTATCCACTGCACCACCTAGCTGCCCTTCACTATCCCTATTCTTAAGAAACATAATCTTTTTTCCCCCCCAATTGGCAATGGGGTTAAGTGACTTGCCCAGGGTCACACAACTAGTAAGTGTTAGGTGTCTAAGGCTGGATTTGAACTCAGGTCCTCCTGACTACAGGGACAGTGTTCTATCTACTATGCCACCTAGCTGCCCAAAGAAACACAATCTTGTTGAGGAGACAATCTCTGTTGGTCCCTGAGATTGGTGGCCTTATGGGATCCTGAAGCTGCCTTTCCACTGTCAGTTTAGTTTGCTTTAAGAATGTCTCTCTGCCCTGCTGCCATCAGCCATTTCCCCTCTGGTGGACATTTCATAGGAGCTACAGATCTTCCAACCTTTCTCAAGTTCACAAGGCTATCACCTAATCAAAAGGAGAGCACTGGAGAAAGAAGACGCTCTCCCTTCTATTTTACCCCATCATCTCTAAAGAGTCCTTTACCATTGAATTACTTGACTGACAGAATCCAAACGAGCTTGCTGTATTTATATATAATCCCATGCGGATACTAAGGAGCAAGCACATTCAATTACATCAATTATTGATGCAAGCATTTAAAAATATTTTTTATTGGAAAAACATCAGTTGCTCATGGGTAGGCCGAGCTAATATAATAAAAATGACAATCCTACCTAAGCTAATTTACTTATTCAGTGCCATACCAATCAAACTACCAAAAAATTATTTTATAGAGTTAGAAAAAATAATAACAAGATTCATTTGGAAAAACAAAAGGTCCAGAATATCAAAGGAACTAATGAAAAGAAATGCAGGAGAAGGTGGCCTAGCAATTCCAGATCTTAAATTGTATTATAAAGCAGCAGTCATCAAAACTGCTTGGTACTGGCTAAGAAATAGGGAGTTGGATCAGTGGAATAGGTTAAATATGCAAGACACAGTACTCAATGACTATACTAATCTATTATTTGATAAACCCAAAGACCCCAGCTTCTGGGATAAGAACCCACTCTTTGACAAAAACTGCTGGGAAAACTGGAAAAGAGTATGGCAGAAACTAGGCATAGACCCAAATCTCACACCATATACCAAAATAAAGTCAAAATGGGTTCATGACTTAGATATAAAGGCTGATACCATAAGTAAACTGGGAGAACAAGGAATAGTTTACCTATCAGATCTATGGAGAACAGAAGAATTCATGACCAAACAGGAGATAGAGAACATTATGAAAAGCAAAACGGATAATTTTGATTACATTAAATTGAAAAGTTTTTGCACAAACAAAGCCAATGCAACTAAGATTAGAAGGAAGGTAGAAAATTGGGAAAGAATTTTTACAACCAGTCTCTCTGATAAAGGCCTCATTTCTAAAATATATAGAGAATTAAGACAAATTTATAAGAACATAAGCCATTCCCCAATTGATAAATGGTCAAAGGATATGAACAGACAGTTCTCAGATGAAGAAATTAAAGCCATCTATAGTCATATGAAAAAATGCTCTAAATCATTACTGATTAGAGAAATGCAAATCAAAACAACTCTGAGGTACCACATCACACCTACCAGATTGGCCAACATGACAAAACAGGAAAATGATAAATGTTGGAGAGGATGTGGGAAAATTGGAACACTAATACATTGTTGGTGGAGTTGTGAAATGATCCAACCATTTTGGAGAACAATTTAGAACTATGCCCAAAGGGCTACAAAAATGTGCACACCCTTTGACCCAGCAATAGCACTTCTAGGGCTATATCCGAAAGAGATCAAACAAATGGGAAAAGGACCCACACGTACAAAAATATTCATAGCAGCTCTTTTTGTGGTGGCAAAGAATTGGAAATTGAGAGGATGCCCATCAATTGGGGAATGGCTGAGCAAGTTGTGGTATATGAATGTAATAGAATACTATTGCTCTATAAGAAATAATGAACAGGCTGACTTCAGAAAAACCTGGGAAGACTTATATGGTCTGATGCTGAGTGAAGTGAGCAGAACCAAGAGGACTTTGTATACAATAGCAGCCATGTTATGCAATGACTAAGAATGTTAAACTGAACTCTTCTCAGCATTATGAGGATCTAAGACATCTCCAGAGGCCTCGGGATGGAAAATGCTGTCCACATCCAAAGAAAGAACTATGGAAGTTGAATCGCTCTTACTTATTTTTACCTTCAGTTGAGTTTTGTTTCATCTTTCTGATGGTTCCTCCTATTGGTTTTAATTTTTTACTTACAACTTCACTAATGTGAAAATATGTTTAATGGGTATGTAAATGTAAAGCCTATGTCAGATTGTGCGCTGTCTTGGGGAGGGGGGGGGGAGAAAAAGGGAGAAAAAAATTTTCAACTCAAAAGCATATGGAAAAGAAATTAAAATTAAAATTAAAAAAATATATTTTTATTATAATTTACTATAATTTCTCCTATCTGTGGAAATGTACTTTAAATACAAATAATTATTAACAAAGATCATAATTTTACTTTGAAATAAACATTTTATAATCCCTAGTATGTATAAATGTAGGGCAGCTAGGTGGCACAGTTGATAGAGTGCCAGGCCCGAGTTCAAATCTGGCCTCAGGTACTTACTAGCTGTGTAAGCATGAGCAAATCACTTAAACCTGTCTACCTCAGTTTCCTCATCAGTAAAATGAACTGGAGAAGGAAATGGCAAAACATGCCAGTATCTTTGCCAAGAAAATCCCAAATAGGGTCATGAAGTGTTGGACATGACTGAAAACAAGTGAACAATGACAACAACATGTGTAAATGTACTCTATCAAAGTGAAAGCTTGAATCTTTGAGGCATTCTTAAATTTCAGTCCTTTGAGAATTAACAATTACAAGATATTTCCTATGTGGCAACTCTGCTTTTATCCAATGACTTAAAATAAATAAATTAATTAATTTAATTAAATAAAAAAATAAAAATAAATGACTTATCAAATTGATTAAGGACTTAGTCACAACCTGGATTATTTTTGACTGATTGATTCAATTTAGATATTTTGATCATCTGGGGTAGAAATGGCTCCCTTTAAAGGGGAAAGCCACTAGTTTTCCTACTGGATATTAGATACCAGGTAGGATAGCTCTAACTGTCAGGAAGTGTTTCCTTACATCAAAACTAAATTTGCTTCTTTGTAGTATCTCCCCATTGTTCCCAGTTTTGCTCTCTAGATCCACAAAGAACAATTCTAATAGCTCTTCCATCTAATGGCCCTTTAAACCCTTGAGGACTGCTATCATGTTCCCTCTCAAGTATTTTCCTTTTCCTTTCTTTTTTTCTTTTTTTTGGCTAAGCAATAGTGTTAAATGACTTGCCCAGGATCAGACAGCTACCAAGTGTTATGTGTCTGAGGCCAGGTTTGAACTCAGGTCCTCCCAAATCCGGAGCCGTTGCTCTATCCACTGTGCCACCTAACTGCCCCTTTCTCAAGTATTTTCTTATCCAAGTTAAACAATCCTAGTCTCTTCAACCGATCCCACTGCGGCATGAACTTGAGGACCATCACCCTCTGGTTTGCTTCCTCCACCTTATTTATATCATTCTAAAAATATAGTTCCTTGAACTAAACATAACACAGTTTTCTCTTAGTGTAAGCAGACCATTCCACAGACCTCCTTCTGCACTCTAAATGTTAAATATGGCACAAGACAGTGGAACTACCAATCTCTAATTTCTGGACACCACGCCTCTCTCATTACAGCTTAGGATCACCTTATCCTCCTTGGGTGCCATTTTACACTGTTGACTAGATTGGTTAAAGCCCCCTAATCTCTTTTTTTGCAAACTGCTGTCCAGCCATAACTCTTCCATCTTTCACTTATGAAGTTGAGCTCTTAAATTCAAGCATAGGACTTTATGTTCATCTCTATGAAGTTCTCTCTTATTAGATTTGGTCCAATGTTGCTACTTGTCAACATCTTCTTGAATCTTAACTACAATGTTACATTTATCCCCTACCTTTTAGTCAATGGCACAGCTGAGAAACCTGCTAGGTGTGCCCTTATTCATTTCACTGACAAAATGTTAAACAAGAAAGGATCAACTACAGAAACTGGGGGATGTTCTAGTAAAGACTTACTTTCAAGTCTGTATCAAAACACGAACTTTTGGTCAAGCCATTCCAGGAGTTCTAAATTCACAACTGTGTGATGATCTGGCCAACATCTCACCATCTTTTCCACAAGAAAACTGTGAGAGATTTCATAAAATACTTCGTGAAAATCAAGGGAAACTATTTTGACTGCATTCCCTGATCTACCAGACTAATAATCCTATCAACAAAGGAAATAAGGTAAGTCTGGTAATAATCTGGCAATGACCTACGTTTGTTGAAGTCACATTGCTGCCTCTCTGTTATCACCATTTACTTTTCTATCTGTTCACTAACCAATCCTTTAAAATTCTAAAAATGCAAAAACAAATATTAATTCCAGAAATCAACATCAAATTCTTTGGCTTGGACTTTATAAGATTCATAAAAGTTTGAATTTCCTCTTTTCTTCCTCTAATAAGTCCTTCCAAGTCTGAGAGCTAAAAGCCAAAAAGAAACTCTACAAATGTTGTAGTATATTTTCCCCCAAAGAATAATTCCAAAATCAAGGCTAAGGTCAGAATCACCTTCTGATGCCAGTGAGAAAGTCCTTCTTCAGGATCAAAGTAACATGGATGGTACAGGACAAGTGACATAAAGTTCATATCCCTTGCTTTCACCTATTAACACAGAGAGATTATTCCCTAAAAACACCCATACTTTATAGGTTGAACTTGTCTGTTTTCCTGTATTCCCAAATAACAAATGAGATATGAGGGAGAGGAAGGAAATGAGAAGTGAGAAACCTACCAGCCTAACTCTCACCAAACAAATAATTTTATTAATTCACATAAGTGATGTGAATATCAACTAATCTAGATCTGGTTATGTTACTGGGAGAGAAAAGTAAGGAATAAACCTATAACTACATGAAATAACAACACAGACTTGACACTTGACTGACTCCTAATTATCAATGTCCACATTTCTACAAAGTTGTAGAAAATTCTAACTTAAATGAACACAAATGTTGATTAAAAATCCTCAAGTATATTACAGATAAGCCCAAATTTTTTTTAAGAACAAAACCATTGTATTTCTACTACAGAGGATTTTGTTATACGGATGGGTATTATGAATGGCAAATAATATAAATATGCTTTATTTTGGGAAAAAAGTTTACATAATACTTTGGAAACACTCCTGCTTAATCCATGTTAATGAACAAAAACAATGCCACTTTAAGCACACACATTCTTCTCTTCAACATGTAGATGGACACAGGAAGACAGCACTCGGTTTAAAAAAGGAAGATAAAAAAAATTAAAAATTCAAAAAACCAAAAATAAATTAAAAAAAAAACCCCAAAATGACCTCATGTTAAGGCCTGGTCAACTAAGTGTAAACAACATAGAATGAATTCACCATACATAGATAGTTCTGATTGCTAGCTATAGCAAATCTGTGGTGTCTCTGTGTTTTGAGAGCTATGAAACACATACCTTCACTCACCCTCCCAGAAGGGCTGCTGCATCACAGTCTAAGTTGAGTTCTTGGCTTGCAGGACCGAAGAATGTCAAACAAGTTTTACAAACCATTTAGAGTGAATTGCCAGTTTTCCCTTTAAGTACATTAAGAAACAGGTAACAATAGAAAGACACTGCTTAGAAGCTATTCTTCTCAGTTTGGTACGAATCTTTTTTCTTTTGATTTGTGATTTATGCACTTGTCTGATTCATACACTTAAACACTACTCTAGTCACCTGCCACAAAGCATTAAAGCACAATATGCCTCTTATTCTGTAGGCATCTGCATTTTTCAAGTTTTAATATTGATTCTTCTACATTCTGACTATGTCAGCAGTTCTTGAATATAAAAATACATACAAATGGGGTAGTTATATTCTAAAAATGCAGATGCCTATAACAACCATGTTACTAGGGGGAAGGGAATTTTCAGAAAAGGAAGAAAGCAAACAAATTCACTTGGAGTGAATGTGGTTCAAGTCTTTGGATTAAAAAATAAAAAACAAATTCCCCAGAGAAGCTGGTCATTATGGGAATTTCCAGAAAACCCATTTTTTTCCACCAAAGGGACCTTAAAAACCCCACTCCAAATATTTAAAAATCTACAGCTAGCAGGAGGCCATTAAGTGGCAATCAGCAGTGAGAAGAGAAAGGATAGGGGCAACTAGGTGGCACAGTGGATAGAACACCAGCCCTAAAGTCAGGAGGACCTGAGTTCAAATCAGGCCTCAGACCAAACACTTGACACTTACTAGCTGTGTGACTCTAGGCAAGTCACTTAACCCCAACTGCCTAAAAAAAAAAAAGGATGTCTGTAGATATATCTTGCAGCATAGAATCTACTGGTTGATCAGTAAAAACCATGGATGGACCAGAAGTTCTACTAAAAGATAAGGGTGGGAGAGTATTGAAAATATTACCTGCCTGTTTGTGAGAGGGCCTTCGTGGCTAGGAAACTTTCTAACCAGTATGTAAATTCCAGGACATAACTCCTTCTCTTTTCAATGTTAAAAATAACTGAATTTTAAAAAATCCTACAAGTAGATACAGTCACAATAGGAAGCTACATGGCAAGGACCACACACACACACACACACACACACACACACAAACATCAAGACAATGCTATTGGTTCAATAGTATTCCAAGTGGCTAGAAAACCTGTTAACTTTGAAAGCCCTAGCAAAGTATAGCACTTGTTTATGAATCACCTACTTCTAAGACCAATACTTTGAATCTTCTTTTCCTTTCCTTCTTTTTTTCTTTTTGCATGTTACAAATGGAGAATTTCATATCCAGCCCTAAGCATTTTGCATTTCTTTAACAATCTTGTAGCTGAGTATCTTGTTCAAGTAGATTTTGGTGCGGGTGTCTGGAAGTTGCTGGCACAAGGCCTTGAATGTATTGTCTGAAATGTCTGACAGTTCTCACCAATCACAGTCTGACACTCATTTTCAGCATGTTCTATGATTTTTATAAATTCCTTGGCAGTTTGTACATTATCAGTAACAGCTACTGAACCTGTACAACTTTGTCACTAATCAAGTGAACACTGCCATTTTCATAGTAACGGACCTGAATCTTTAGCGCTCCAACCACCTGAGCTGTAGGTGCTGTGATGGTAAACTTCCATTCTGATCTCCAACGACTGTTCCAGAAGTTTTTAGGCTGAAATTGGTGGCTCTCAATATAGGCAATAATAGTCTTCTGCCCATCTATAATTTTAGCACAGACAGCACAGAAGCCATTGGAATAATGATCTTTCACATGGGCTCTTAATGCACTGTCACAGGATGCCCTCTACAACTTCAGAGCTCCACCTAAGTCCTCAGGTTGGGGGTCACTTGCTTCTTTCTGTAAATGAGCAAACTTAAAGGAAACTTTATTTCTTGGATCTGAAAATCTGCCATTACCCAGGTCACCATGTTCCATGGTTAAGACCTGATCATTATACTCTTCTATCTCCACTGGAGTGAACTGATCCATATTATACTGGGAGAATGCATGAGCTGCCCTTTCCCTGAGAAGACTGTCATTGTTAAGTAATAACCGGACATCATTAAACACTTCATTAAATTCTCCTGGGGGAGTATGAGTGATGAACTTGGCAGCTATCTGTACCTTCTCCTCATTCAGCACCCAATCCTCAAAGTCAGCCATCTTGGGCTTCTCTGGCCCAGCCCCAAGCCCAAAGTTTTAATTGCCTTAAGCTACACTTTGGTTTTTGAAGTGATAAACCATACGTCAAGATACAAAACCTGTCAACTACACAATGTACTCCTAGACAGTGTACTCCTTTGACTCAATTAAAAGGAAGTACAAATCTAAGTTCAAATATCTAAAAGTCTACTTCCAAAGATATATGTTAAATGTTCCTTTAAAGGCAGCACAGTAGGGGTGGAAAAAACTATGGCTATATGAGTCCAAATATCTAATTTAAAGTCTGGGCTCTCCCACCTACTAGCCATGTTTCCTTGGATAATTCAGTTTTTCCTGCTCAGTTTTATCATCAATAAAACAAGGATTAAAAAATACTCTGTAAATAGGAAGCTACTGAGGAATTACTCCTTTCAATGAAATTCATGCAATTTTTTTTCCTAAAAGGTTTGACAATGACAAGCATAGACCTGGATATTTAGGCTTACCCTAAGGAAAGGATACTTGAACAACTGTCCCCTTCAAAATGGTTTAGGAATAAACAGGGACACAAAAACATCAAGACTGGTTGCAGAAGCACCTCCCTTACCTAATAGCACAGTCTACTGATGATTGTTATCAAAATACCCTCATAAGAGAATCTATTAATATAAAAAACATTACGAAAATAAGTTTAAGAAATGAACTTGACAAATAGGTTTTTGGTGATCTTGGGAATTAACCTTTTAGAGCCTTGGTTTCTCCATTTGTAAAACAAGATGGTTGAACTAGGTGATTTTTAATGTCCTACTGTGTTCCAAATCTATGATTCTAGGATATCTGATTTATAAGACATACCATACTTATAATAAGGATGGACTTCTTATGAGCACGAACCAGCACGAATAAACTAGCTTCCCGGTATAAAGCAGTCATCTAATGGGTTTATTCACCCTGACTCTGAATCAGACCAAATCACTCCCACTCCTATGGAAAATTATATCCTGGAAATCAGTGACAGTATCATATTAGCCTCCCAAACTCACTTCTTTGTCCTTAAAGGCAGAGAGATATATAGAGGTCTGTCATTTGTAATATCTTTATTAATTAGTGGGAAATAAGCTTCTCTTTTCAGTGATAGGGCACAGTGGAAAGAACACTGAGTTTGTAATCAGATGACTGGGATTTGAATCCAAATTCTAATACTACTTACTCTGTAAGCTTGGGTAAATCACCTTCCTGGATAAGCCTCAGAGGAGAAATTCCCTACAATCCCCTCCCCGGTGGTTCTGTAACTACTAAGATACTTCTGTGAAGCATTTCTCTCTATCAAATGACACAAAGGATGAGGCATATGGGCATACATCTATAATATTGCTTAATATTTCACTAACGGAAAGGCAGAATAGGATAGTGCGTGGAGAGCTGCCCTGAAATCAAGTCCCATCTCTGACACATGTTGCCTGTATGATCCTGAGCAAGTCATTCTCAGGGCTTTAGTCATTAAGCTCTAAATACTTTAGCTCTTTAGACTTCAGGCTCTAAGAATTCAAGCTGCATAGAAGGTGCCAATCTGCTTTGGTAGAGGGAGTTTCCTCATCTGCAAGTCTCCTCTACCAATGAAATCACAGGATCAATACTTATCCATATTACACTAAAATAAATATCTAATGATAAGTCCCCCCCCATAAACTGTTATTATTTATTTTCTTAAAAACATTTTTTTTTGGTGAGGCAATTGGAGTTAAGTGACTTGCCCAGAGTCACACAGCGAGTGAGTGTTATGTGTCAAATTTGAACTCAGGTCCTCCTGACTCCAAGGCTAGAGCTCTATCCACTGTGCCACCTAGCTGCCCCTATTTATTAATTTTTAACATTTAAAAAAAATTTTGAATTACAAATTCTCTCCATCCTTTCTGCCCTTTTCTATCCATTGAGAAGGCAAGCAATCATGTGAGGTCACGCAAAATATATTTTTATATTAACCATGTTGCAAAAAATAAACAATAAAA